TAGAAAGAAGTGGTTCTCTCTTTTTTAAATTACTGCAGAGTATTTGTACGTTGCAGAATAGTTTGGTCTAAACACAACAGTAGCATGTTTGTAGCCACAATGTTGGGTTTTTTGAACCAGAAATGGCTATATATGGACCCACGTAAGTGCTAATTAGTGTTATGTAATACACGGAGTTGCCACCTGCCACACACCTTGCTGTGGAGCGAACAGCTGACAGACACAAGCAGAGAACAAACTGCTCCGGTGGTGGATATTTAAGCTAACATATATTTTATTTATGCCAAAGCGGGGCAATTCATTTGTTATAACAATTAAAAATTAAATTAAACAACACACATGCAAATAGCTCAAAACAGTTGAATTGTATGCAACTCAATATCCTAATAGAGTCAAAGTAGAATAACGTAAATATACATTAGTCACTGCAGAGCAAGAAAGTGGCTTAGTGTGTGCCAAGGTTTGTGTCAGTGCAGGGTCCAAACAGCTGGGCATAAAACGTGCCATGTCTATGCTAATAATCCCGACCCACCCTCCTCTCACGTGGCTAAAAGCATCACACTGGCCAATGATCACGCACATTCATTGCACATTAATTGGGAGGTGGGGTGTGACACCTGGTGTGCCTGTGTGTGTGCTTTACCTTTACCTGTTTTCTCAGACATGGAGTTCCTGGAGGTTCTTCTCGAGGGTCTGAATCGGGTCCTCCTGGTTCGAGGTGGTGGCCGTGAAGTCATCACCATCTACTCTTAAAAATCCCCCCAAAACTTTCATGGCCTAACCTGCACCCAACACTGGCACATCGCCATGGAAACTGCGCAGTGAGGAAGAAGCCTAATTTTGGTTTTTAATGAAGGGCAGGGGTTGTTGGCAGGCGGGACCACCTTATGACTGATAGTTGACCTAAAATACGTCAGGATGAAGGAAATCGTTCCGAATAAGCCGAGCACAGCGTGCGTCCAGCTGGACCAGAGAACCCTTGCGCACAGAAGATAGAGCATAGAGACACTTTATTTTTTTCATTTACATCTGACAACCGTGTTGTGTTCTGTTACATTTTCACACTCTGTCCTCTTTGTGTCGATGTCGTCAAGTTTATGGCACTCACTGTGTAAAGACGAGTGGAGAAGTGAATGTGTTGATATGAGCTTTATGGTCTTTGTTTTGTTCTGCTGGACCTGAGAAAAACATGCACACAGATTAATGGAAATAAGTTAAGATGCACAAAGTGCAAAAATGACCCTTTTGCTGTTTTCAAAGCTCCATGTGGGGTGATGTTTTCATTGAAATGTTGTCAGTCTGTTGAGAAGCTGCTGAACTGTTCTGTTTTAGACTGGAGAGCTTTGACGTTGTTGAAGAGTGGAGTCATGTCTGCAGCTGAATGAGTTGATGGAAGGACCAGTTGGGAGGATGCTGAACAAGCATCTTATCCCAGTTTAGTGAGTGGAAGCCTTTCAGATCTCGGGTTCTGCATTTTTGATTTCCCACCCTCAAACTGTAGCTTTTATCTTAATAGGGAAAAAGCCATAGCTAGAAGCATGAATGTGGACATTTATGGTGTCTAGAGAAACAACTGGTTGGGAACAAGAAATGTATTCTTTTTTTTAAGAGCTGTATGACGATAGCTTATTAAATAATTAGATTGGTTTGTAGGTTTTTGCACAGTTAATCTATATTTTAGCCTCTCAATTGTTTGATTTTAGAAATGTATACATTTAAGATGTAAAAGCACAAATTGACACATGTAAATTAGTGTAATTGTACCCCCGTACTGACAGTTCCAGCACTGCTGACTTTGCACTACCAGTTTTCGGTCTTCATTGATTGTGTACTTTCCATTTGGTAGCTCTAATATGTTCCTAACAGGAGATACAAGGATGCAGACTGCTTCATACTGTTTAATACCCATGTTTCAATGTTGGTCGTAGAACATTTTACTGATTTAAAATTTTAACGGCTTTGAGTTTCAGACTGAGTAAATTGGGGGGGGGCGGGCTGTAAAAAGTGCCAAAATGACTTTAAAAGAAACTGTGGAAGTATTTTGACTGCAGCTGAGACATGGTCTAGAGTGGCTGATGTTTCTGGCCATCTTTAATCTTTAGAAACTAGCATGAAGGTTTGTTTTTTTTATAATGCAGGTCCCTCATTTCTGCCAGGAATAAAGAAATGAATATGATGAAACTAATGGTGCGCTATCAAGGGCATTTCAAGAGTAAGAAGGAAAAAAGGATCCCGCTCCTTCCTCATGTGTACCTCCACAGTTTCTTTTCAAAATTAGCCGCCGCAGTATTCTGTAAAGCAAAAAGTTCCCCTTTCCTCACTTTTGATTGTTGCTTATGCTACCTGTGTGTTTTTGTTGTGTTCTGTTCAGTTGTTAATGCCTGTGTTACTCTATAAATACAGTCAAATATGGTCTTTGTAGTGTTTGTTACATTATCGCTGATCTTCTGTTACTTTTAACTGTTAATTCGAGACGAGTTTTATGACACGAGGCAGAGGGGAGGAAGTTATTTGTTTTAGGTTTTTTTTTGGGGGGGGGGGGGGTTTATTGTTTGCATTTTGTTTTAACCCACCAGAAACGCTTTATGCTCGTCACACAGGGCAGTTCGTTACAGTGGCACCCCTGGACGGAAAGCGTTAAGAAGAAGGGGTGAAGCCACGGGGTGACAGGAGCAAATGACTTCTGCTGCATGCTACATGAAGTAATGTCACTGTTTCACTTTAGTTTTCAGTTTTAGGAGCCAAGGATGAATGACAAGATGAGTGAGCGCCAACTGTCAAGTTTTAGGAAGTCTGAATGGCTGAAAATTGTAAAGATAAATATTGAAGACATTCTTTTTTTGTTTTTCTTGTTTAATCTGGTTACTGAGCAGAGTAGCAGTAACTTAGCATAAAGAAAACAGTCAACCCTTAAACAAAAGATGCTATATAATCAGAGTTGGGAAGGTTACTTGAGGCGTTTGAAAGGCTGCTCCAACGGAACTTATTGTTTCGGAGGAAAACACGAACACGGCGTATTGTCAGAGTCATAACTTACAACTGGGCTCCTCAGGCCCTCTTCTTGGCTGCAGTGGTTATTATTATATT